CTTTCCCTAACATGAGTGTGTGTAATAACATAGTAGTAAATACTGTGTTTCTAGTGTAAATAATAGTTGTTACTGTAATTTTTAAGGTGCAAGATTTTGTAATAGTTATACCCTGTTCCACTGAGAGCAAAAGGAAAGTTAGTAGTTTTCCTTTTCTTTTTAAAACAAAAATTATCATTATTAAATGCTATTTTCGAAACTAATAACAAGACCGAAAGATCTGTTTTGCTGCTGTATTTTTAATGATCTATTATATAGCTGTTTATTGGAGAGGGAAAAAAAAAGCTTACCTGGTGTCTAGAAACACTTGAGATTTTTCACTGGCTCCTGGACTGTGGCAGATCCCATAGATCTCCCACTTTTAATTGCATAATTTTTGTAAATAGTAATTTATTAAAGACTTTTTCCACTAGACTTTAAAAAAAATTGCAGATAGTTACTCTGTCAGTTAACAAGTACAGTGTATAAAGAAAAATATTTAAACAGAAATTTCTCTATTCTTCAGTGTACTTTTTTCCCCCTCTGTCAAATAGTAATACAGATTGAAAAGAGCAAAATTGAAGGTTTTCTTGGACTTTTTATAGCATAATAGAAATCTAATTGAACTTAATTTGGAACTTACTTGAAATGGTATATTATTTTCTTTTGTATTTTGTTCTTCACATCTATTAATTGTGAATGCAGTACTCATTTAACTTGAGTCAGTGAGTAGCATGCTTTTTATTGTTATTATTTTTATATCTGTTCAGCTGCTGGGTGTCAGTGGTAAGTGACACCACGCTTACTCTTCTGCATTTTGTCAATTATACTGGAAAAATAAACTGTAACGTGTATTTTCTTTTTTTCCTTTGCAATTTATGTGTCATCTTCAAAATGCTTAAATTTTTTTTTTTTTCAAAAAAATAGGAGGGTTCTGTGGCTTGCAGAAATCCTGTTTCTAAGCAGGTGTAACAGGGATGTTAGCAGCGTTCATTTCACATCCTTCCCTTGCTATCGTGCTTCAGCTCATACAGGAAGGTAGCCTGCTCCAAAAATGAGCTATGAGCATACTAGGAAGGCATTTGAGATTATGCACTCTGGGCTGTGATTGTCTATCCATTAAATATCTAAGACTCATTTAATTAAAGACAGTGAACAATTATCAAATGAAAAAAACTTTTGCTACTAGTCAGATGGTAGCCTAGAAGAAGGAGAAAGCCTTGTGTTGCAGTGCAATAAGTTACTGTTTCTGTCAGTCAGCTAGACCACATGTGAACAGGAGTCTTAGACCATGCTTTTATGTACAAAAATTGAAGAACTGATTTTTCATTTGTTTATTTATTTGTGTGTGATAAGGGAATGGGAGGGTCAAGTAAAAGTTACCTTTAGTATCTGTTTACAAAAGTCAAGAAAATCAGATGTTTTTGAATGCTTCATAGTGGAAGCATCAATGCAAGATTTCTAGAACTATAAAAGCGGTTACTTTTATTAACTGTAAAGTTGAGCTAATAAACTGTGATGAGGTGAACTGTTTTGTTTTACAGTTTTACATGTTTTGATAACAGGTACACATTAGATGAGTTTGGAACAGCCAGGAGGAGTGCTGTAGTCCGTGGCTTTATAGATGCTCTTACTAGAGGAGGTCTGGGAGGTACACCCCGCCCTATTGAAATGCACTCACATGATCCTCTGAGGTACTGTACTAGCAAGAATGTGTATGAAGTAATCCTTCTTTTGCCTGTTGGCACTTTGATTCCCTGACACCATAAACTGCTGATTTACACTGAAATTTCTGTCTTTATTTAGGTATGTAGGAGACATGCTGGCCTGGTTGCATCAAGCTACAGCTTCTGAAAAAGAACACCTAGAAGCTATGTTAAAGCTTGTGACTATTGAAGGTAGTACTAAAACAAATTGAGAAGTGATAGAAAGTAAGTCTGTGATAAGTCAGAAAATGTGATTAATTTCTTAGGCTGGGCTTCAGTTATGAGAGTCTGAGCTTAGATTTTCCTGGAAATAATTTCAGAATGGCTAGTGTTTGCATTTTGCCAGAAGATAGCCCTTAGTTAAGAAGAGTATTTAAAAATGCCCTCTTTTCATTTTAGTGTACTTACAATAGATTTACACTAAATTTGCAAAGAGACATTTTAGACTGTAGTTGAGAGTTCAAAAATTGTGTAATGTATATGAACATATACCTATCTGAAAACATTGTCATAGGGTTGCTTACTGATATGTTGAGGATTCCTGTTAGGCCTTGCTTATTTGTTTAGTAAATTTTTTAAACATAATTCCTTCCTCCTGTAATTATTTTCCTTGTATGCTACAAGTAAAATGGATTTTTCTTCTGTCATGTATCATATCATTATAGGTTTACAGAGGTCAAAATAGGCTGCGCATAGATATGTGAAGCTTTTTAATATCACAGCTTTACTTCGTTAATAGAACTACAGATTCTCATGCTTATTCTTCAGCCTCTTTGCTGTGTTTTAAGTGAATTTGACCTGTACTTTAAAGACCTTTATCCTGTAGAGGGTGTAGTGTGATTTGCCTTCATAGCTTCAGATAAAGGCTTGCTTAATAAATCAAGCGTGTGTACTCAGTTGTAACAAACTTGTACGAACTGATATTTAATCTGTATCTTTTGAGTTCATCAGACTGTACATCTTAATTCGGTCCTGCTCTGGGACTTAAAGTGAATATGCATTCTCACTTTCCTTATTTCTGGAAGTATTAACAGTGTTTGAGCAAGGAGGCTGTTTAGAAACTGTTGTAAATCAAACTGAAGAAATGTTGGTTTTTAACTACAGTTACAGCATACTATAGAAGTGAATATAATCCAATTTACTGACTGTGTCAGAGAGACAGGAAGGCAGGCCTCATGATGGTTTTAAGGTAGAGAAGAAGACATGGCAATTCTTTGTAAATGACTGATGCTTCTGGTGAAACTGGGGAGTCCATCAGGAAAAGCTGGCCCCATGGAGTATGTTACCATGGATATACCCCATGGAGTATTTGGTTCTGCTGTAGACTGGGCTACTGCTGCTTCTCTGGCCTGCATTCTCTTCTGAAATGATCCCACCTCTTTGTGCAGTGCTTTATTTAACTATTAAATCCCTTGGCCTTCTGTCAGGACATCAGGCTGGAATGCTATGACCACATAATTAGATCAAACTGCTTGAGAATACAGAGAATATAAATGTTTCTGGGAAAAAAAAATTTAAAAATTACCAGGCCGAAACTTTTTTCCCAAGAGGCTAGCATAGCCAAGATATTCAACACTTCTGTCTGAAATAAAAATATGTTTTCCTAAGCTCTCCAGGAATGGGTGTTCCATCACTGTTGTACAGTTTTCAAGAGATGCAAGCCTGGGAGGTGTTGTCCATTAACTGTTCCTCTGCATCTTTGGGAAATTTTTTTGATGACAAGGATGTTTATGCAATAAGATCTGTAAGACAAAACAGTACTTAATGGGATACCACTGTGTTTAACAAGAACCATTTATGGCAAGTGCAGCCTTGAGATTTAATGTTTTATAGGAATACAGACCCTGAGTTTGTAGTGGCTAATCAGTGAGTCCAGTGTCTATGGTACTAAGAGATTGAAGCTGAATTCCCTGTCCTCTCATACAATGTTCAGGTATCTGGTTGTGCAGGCTACAGCAGAGATTGAGATAATTTCACTTAGCCATCTAAAAAGTGAACAGCTTGTTTATTTGTAGTTATAGATAATGACAAAGTTTTACATCTCCAGTAAGCAATCTTCCCAACAAAAGTTAGATCTAATGTTGGCATTTCTGAACACTTTCATCACAACTATTGATTTGTGTTTTTTTCTGTTCCCTATAGAGGGAGCCCAAGCAACTACTATAGATAAGACACCTAACTGGGTGTCTAAAGTTAGGTCAGTCAAATAGAATCATATAATCATAGAATGGTTAGGGTTGGAAAGGACATTAAAGATCATCAAGTTCCAACTCTCCTGCCATGGGCAGGGACACCTTCCACTAGACCAGGTTGCCCAAAGCCTCATCCAGCCTGGCCTTGAACACCTCCAGGGATGGGGCATCCACAGCTTCCCTGGGCAACCTGTTCCAGTGCCTCACCACCCTCACCGTAAAACATTTCTTCCTAATATCTAATCTAAATCTACTGTCTTTCAGCTTAATACTGTTAGCCCTTGTTCTCTTACTTCACTCCCTGATCAAGAGTGCCTCCCCATCTCTCCTGTAGGCCCTCTTCAGGTACTGGAAGGCTGCTATTAGGTCTCCTCGGAGCCTTCTCTTCTCCAGGCTGAACAACCCCAGTTCTCTCAGCCTGTCCTCATAGGGGAGGTGCTCCAGCCCTCTGACCAATTTCATAGAGCCCTCTGACCAATTTTGTGGGTCATGTTTTAACTTTATTGTCAACTTGAGTAGCTTGTTGCAGATGGAACTGGTTTTATCATTTTAACTCAGGTGTGTCTGTTCCGAGTTCAGATTTCTGTTTAAATTATCCTGTAAGCTCTGTGTAATTTCAGGACTGTGGAGAACATAGGAAATGACAGCTACACAAAAACATCCCTTCTCTTAAAAACAAACAAACAAAAAAGACACATGTATAGCCATGGGTGAGGTACAGGTGAATTTGGTGCCAGTGGAAGAAAATTTGTGTAAATACCACATTTCTGGAAAAATGTTCCCATCCCAGTTTTTACTTTAAAGAAAACAAGCTATGTTGCCCATAATCAAGTATTAGAGAATATATTTTAAAAAATTTCAAAATTTTAAGCTTGCAAATGTTAACTGTATAAAATTAACCTGACCAAAAATGCTATTAAAATTTTAAGCAATGAAAACACATTTGGAAAACTTTAACTATTTTTTATGGCACTGGACAAGCATAAAGCATCTAGTTCTCTTCTTTGAAGCTTAGGTATTCTGCTGACAGGAGCCTTCCAGTCTTACAGAGATCTTGCACTTGAAAGGAAGGGAGAATTGCAGGCATTCTGTTTAAGAGATACAGTAGATACTCCATTTTTCATGGAGTTACAGGAGCCCAGCTGGAAAGATTTCTCCCTTATAGAAGGATACACAGAGAAAAATGATATGTGGTGTATCAGGCAGCCAGAAGTGTATCTTCAGTATTGAACTGTTTTCTAAAAGTGATTTTGGGTCTCTTAAGAATTGTTTATTCTATAATTCTTTTATGTCAGTGTGATGTGCTAATACTTGCAGCTGTTTTATAACCCATTGTGCTGAAGTTTTTTTTTTACTGTGCAATGAATCAAAAATATTCTAATTGGAGATTAAAATATATGTGAAGGCACAGGTAGGCGACATATCAAGATTGCAAATCCATGTCCTTTGGTATTTGAATTTCTGTATTTTTGCAGCTAAAACTTTCATACCCAGCAACTTGTTGTTAAGTCAATCTGTTCTAGATACACTGTTGCAAATATGTGCTAGATGCTTGTTATACTGATGAACAGTAAAGTGTGACTATTCCTACTAAAAAATGTGTAAATTGTTAGGGTGTATCTGGGAGCTAGCTGTTATGTAACAGACCGTACTCCTTGTGGTTTGCAATCTTGCTTTCTTCCTTGATATCAATACTCAAATATATGAACATATTTTTGTTACTTTATCAATTTAGTATGCTGAAATTTTTCAAGCCACCACAGTGAATTCAGTGGTTCTGCTTACACGGCTTTTCAAGTATCTTGGCATAAAGAGACATTGGCACAGATCTCTGATCTTTTATAATTTTTACTCTCAGAGGTAATCTCTTTAGTCTGAAATAAGATCTGCAAAATATAACTTCAGGTCACCTGATTTCTGTCACATGTCACAGTCAGTTTGTTTACTGTTCATTGCACGGGTCCCATCTGAAGATGAACTTCTGTTGACAAGTTTTAAATTAGAATTAAAGTATTGCTTTCTCCATAAATCTATTCTGAGTTGTTACTGAAGTGAGAGCTTGAAGATCTGTTGCTTTCAGTTTGATTGATTTATGACAGTACTGGTTGCCATGCAACAATTCATTTGTGTTCCATGATAAGATAGGGCAATATTCTCTTTTGTGTATAGTTCTGTGAAAGATGAGTTTCAGTTGCTGCTGAGGAGGAAGTGTTTGGTAATGCTGCAGCATGCAGCAGTTTGAAGGTACATATGTGATCTAATTTGTAACAATGCCATGAGCATGTCAGTACCAAACACTGACAGATGTGTGTATTTACAATTCAGGCCATTCAAAATGATATGTACTGTTGCTCCTTGAGCATCTTACTGGCCTTTTTTCCCCCCTGTTTAATTTAATGAAGTGCTAATATTGAGCCTTACTGTGACAGTTTCTTGCTAGATCATTTTTTCTTCCCCTTAGTCCTTCTTCCTCAAACTGCCAGGCACTATGTTGTGCTAGGAAGCAGTTGCATAGCATAAGGTAATGACTCTCCAGGACTCTGTTTTGTCATGCAGCTATTTCTTAATGGCTAGATTTGAAGTTCAGTGGAAGTGTAAACTAGTCTTAGGGAGAAAAGAACATGCAGGTCATAATGCTTTTTATGGAGGAGTAGCTCCTACATTTGTTTCTTTGTTTTATAGCCTTGAAGAAAAGAGAATTACATTTGCATAATCTTAGCACATGTTTTTGCATTAACTGTAGGTGTGGAAGAAAATATTCAAGAAGTAGTTGGGCATATCACAGAAGGTGTCTGCAGGCCTCTGAAGGTGAAGTATTTTGTTTTTCTTAGCATTCTAAATAAAAAAATTGTTCTGTCATGTTTTTCCAGAATGCGTCCCCATCTCTGCAATGTATTTTCATTGCCCTTGGTTAAGAGTTAGATTCTCAGTTTTGAGAATCATAAAATCCTTAAAAATTAAAGGTTCCATGGTTCATAGATACCTGGTTTAAATAGTCATATGGTGAGAGATACTAGAACACTAAATCTGTATGTTGATTTTTGTTTTACTTTTCCTAAGTTCAGGAGTGCTTATGTACAAAAATGTAGCTTCGACTAAGTATATAGGAATGGCAGTAGTGGGTCAAATGAAAAATCAGTTTAATTTACTACCCTGTTTTTCATAGTGATCATTAGCAGATGCTTAAGGAAGAGTGTACAGTTTATGCAGTGGTGTCTTGATACTTCTGTAGAATAGTTTCCTCGCCTGTTTTTGGACGTACTAAGGATTGCTGGGCCATAGCTACTGTCTTTTTATTTAATAGACCTCAGTAGCTTTTTCTTGCATTAATATGTCAAGTTTGATATAAAAAGATGGTATTCACAACATATCCTGCAGGAGGAAAGTGTACAGTTTAACTGTATGCTGTGTGCAAAGCCAGCTCTTTTTGTTTTTGTTTTGTTCAGTAACTCCAGCTCTTGTATTGAAAGAACATGAAAAATTGTTTCCTTCTTACCATCTTGATGCTACTCTGATTTGCTCTGTTTCTGTCACACCCCTCCACAGTTCTCTTTTTCAAGCTACAGCCTTAGTCAGTTTAGGGAACTCATTTGATAGAAATAATTATTAATGATCCATCAAATGATTGACTGTCTTATATATTGGATGCACTTTACATAAGCACAAAATAAAATAATCAAGGTGATGAAGCTGATACCAATAATCAGTGTTTCTGAAGTCAAATGTACTGTACTAAGCACTATGATAATAATTTTCTCTTAGGATGCTGTAGCTATAACAACCGTGTCCAGTTGCCAAATACTTAGTCTCAAATGTTAACAGGTAGGTTCTGAATACTATATATAAGTTCCTGATAAGAAAGAGAGAAGGTCTAAAGACAGGTAAAAATCAAAAAAGTGCCATTTAGAATGTCACAGAATCGCAGAAGGGTTGAGGTTTGCAAGGACCTCTGGAGGGCATCTGTTCCAAACTCCCCCCTCAAGCCGGGCCACCTAGAGCTGTTTGCTCAGGACTGTGTTCAAATGGCTTTTGAGTGTCTCCAAGGAGGGAGGCTCCACAGCCTCTCTGGGCAACTTAGGCCAGTGTTCAGTCATCCTCACAGTAAAAATGTGTTTCCTGATGTTCTGATAGAACCTCCTGTGTTTCAGTTTGTACCTGTTGCCATATAATTATGATCATCCTTCACAGCATTTAGTTTTGAACTTGTTTGAAAAACACCTGTCATATTAGACAAACAAACTATTATCACAGCTTTTTTCCTTTGGAAGATATTTTTCCAAGCTTTCTGTGTTCTTCTTGCGTACTTTACTTCTGTTAATACCAAATGCTGATCTTTGAGTTCAGTATTTCTGGGTATTCCAACAAAGTAATTAGGGATGGAATCAAAATTTTGTGTAAGTCAGAGGGAATTTTGGTCTTGATTTGAGTACTTGTGATTTGTACACTTTGGTATGGAATACCTCCCATTTTGATTGCCAAACTCTTTACACTAGTGTGCTGCTGCTATCTGTAAAAACATCCCCTGAAATATAGTCAGTAGCTAGTTACTGTGCTAATAAAAATGAAAACAACTAAAAGAACAATTAAAGACAGGGTTCCCATTGTATCCTATTTTTTAATATAATGCAACTTATGTTAATTCACTGCCAGTCTAGGCTTCCCAATGTAAAATATGCAGTACTTACTGTTTCCCCTGGGGAAATCTTCCATAGCAAAAAAAAGCAGGAAACCTCCCCCCCCCCCAAAATTCCCAAGCAGAAAAGCCTTCATACAATACAGTTAGATAATTGCAAGCCATCGTGTTGAGAGGAACAACAAAAATAGACTTGTTTTGGAGGAGTTCTGTTCTATAATACATTGTTCTTTCTGAAGACTGTCCACACTAAGAAAAATAAGTGCAATTTCAGGGAAAACACTCTTTGTTGTAGTTGTGTGGCACCACAGTCTACTGCTTTTCTAGTGGTTTTGTGCTGATGTTTGCAAACCTGTCACGTTGATTTGAGTTGATGCTGTAAAATAGCCTGATGAAAGCCTAGTCGCAGAATTTTCATGAGCACTTTTAAATACTTACAGAATTATGTAGAATTTTCTTACTGATTTATCCCTTTCCATGTGAATGTATAACATGATATAGTTTCATTACTTTTGAAGAAGGATTATGCTTATATGCAGCAGAAATTGTCCACATTTCTTACTGATAGTTGGTTTGAGTTTTAGGCATCCAAGTGAATCTTGAGTACTCACTAGTGGTAGATCTTACCACAGGCCTCTCATTTCAGATGGATGTAGGAGGACCTTAAAAAATATTTAAATTAAGGTCATCATCTTGGTCCTCATATTTTCCATAACACTTAAGGTGAGGTCAAAACTCAAAAAATGTTTTTGATGCCTTATGTAGACTTCAGATTGTCTTTTATTGTCAACTGACTGCAGGATGCAGAAGGTTGGAAAGAGCTGCAAGTCCCAGGACTTCCCTGAGCAGGTTAGGTTGAGTCACTTGCAAACTTTGATTCTCCTGTGCAGTGAAAGTGAATAATTCTGTATGGGAAACAGCAATGTTTCTTTTCCTGCCTTTTTATATATATATAAAAATATATAATCTCTGGTTTTTTTCCTCCTTCTGCCCATTCTGTCTTTTTCTGTTTCTTAATTCTTTTCTTTATTTTTAGGTATTGCTATTTTTTAATTTTTTTGTCAATATTTCTATTTTCCTTTTTTTCCACTGCCTTTCTTATTCTGTTTTGCTGTACACCTAGACTATGCTCAGTATCCATGCCCAAATGACCACTTATGCAACATAGGAGACAATTATTTGTATATATACCTTTGTGTACATATTAATTGAAGAGCGAAGTTCACCTGAGTGTTGAAATTCATGTGTTGAGCACTGCAAATAAGAGTCAAAAATTATTCTTTGATTTTGGTCTCTGACTTAGATACAAAGGGAGAGGATTGAGGAAGCATAATCTTAGTGAATTCTCCCTGCAGCTGGCTCTGATAGGAGGGCACTGCTGGACGTTGTGTTCCATTGAACAGCAGACACAGAACTTGGGAGAGTGGGTGGCGGCTGGTGATTTGTGTGTAGCCTTTTCACACACAGGCACGTGGGAGAACAGTGCAGTGATAAGTCACTGTCTAACACTGTTTCATAAGTTCCCAAAGATTGACCGTGGGGTAGTCTTTCGTGAGTGGACTGAGACTGTGTGTACCATGGAGACAAGCCATCAACTGTCTAGCTTTAAAGGAAGTCAGCACTGTTGTGGTCTGTGTAGCCGGTATGTCCTGGTTGAGATAAAAAGTCAGCATAGCTGGTCATTAGTTATAAATATATCTAATTAAATACTGGTAGAAATTATATAATCTTTCCTTTAAGTGAAGGAGAGATTAATCCAGTGAAATTTTGTCTTTTGGGTAAAATACCTAATACTTCGAATGTTCTGAATTGCTGCGTGATGCTAATGATCAACTGTTGTAGTTTAGGGGTTTTGCAGCTTTGCAACTGTTCTAGCTATTCAGTGGTGGGGAGAATTCCAGTATGTACTGGTATTAATCTGTCAAATGATCTCATTATTTTGAAATTTTCAATAACAAGTTGCAGCAAAAATCCATAGGGTTTGTTTTTTTTTTTAGGAATACATACACCTGCTCGTTTTCTACCCAGAGGCTTGGCAACCAAGAAGCACTTTGTTACAAGCAGAATGTTGTAGTTAACTGGACATTCTCTTTTAAAACTTATTTCTAGTTGAATTTATTTTTCAAAAATCAGACCTATATTCCATATAAAATCATAGGGGTTGACTTCTGAAATATATAACCTGAAGGATGCTTTTATTTCTTCACTGCAGGTTAGAATTGAGCAGGTGATTGTCGCTGAGCCAGGGGCAGTTTTACTGTACAAGATTTCTAATCTTCTTAAGTTCTACCACCATACTATCAGGTATGCAAAATTACCAAGTATGTTAAAGATGTCTTTTTTTTTTCAATTATATATATAAAGATTAATATAATAAAATGAGTATTTTTGTGGCTTAGTTTTTGCTCTGTACTATGGAATCAAGGAGAAGTATGCTTAATGTCAAGCAGATGTCATTTGTATGTTGTCATTCCTCGACTCATATCAAATCTGCTTTGGAATATAGCATCAATTTCCCACAGAAACTATTTCTTTATTGTTCTGTCTAGATCCAAATAGTATACAAAAAACCTACACAAAACACTTAAGATAACAAAATCAAGTTCTCTTTGAGAAAATACTGAAATTAAATTATTTCTAGGACTTCACTTTTTATTTTCTTCCATAAACAACTGTGTTTTAATACCATTTTTTCTAATTATACATTTTTGCATTTTTCTGTTGGGAAGATGCTTGTCTCATTTTATATCTTGCTGTTGAAGGTGCACCAATCATCTTCCAGCCTTCTAGATGCCACCAGGAGCACAGAAACTGGAGAAAAAACAAAACTGCTGACTTTATGCCTTGTGGCATTTGCAGTAGTTCGTGTTGGTTAGAAACAGCAGTAGCAGAAAAATCTTCCACAGGCCTGGACTGAACTGCTGAGAATTTGAATCACTAACATTACTACTTGAGGTTATTTTCTGTCTGAAAAGACATTTAGATGTTGGGCAGAGTGGGATAAGTGGTTCTTGGGCACCTCTCACTGTATTTAAAATCCCCAGTTGTGATGGCACTACAGGTCTATAGTAGAACACATATAAGACCTATTCCTAATTTTATTGTCAAAAAAACCTGAAAGATATTTGCTGAAATTATCTGTCTCAAAAGTTAGTGTTTCCCAGTGGTTATAAAGCTTGGTGCAATTAAAAATGTGATATCGATATGGAAGGTCTTGGGCAGTGTTATCTGTTGTTTTCTGTCTTGTTGACGATACATAGTTTAAAGATGATTAAAGTACCTTCTGCCAGCTGAATAATTTCCTCTGTATTGAGGAAGTGCACCTGACCAATGAAGAAAAAATGCAGTTTGAGAAATGATCTATTAAATGCAACAAAATTATAATCTGAAAGTCAAACTACAAGTTTAAATTAGTCCTTTTGTGATGAAGTTAATTTTTACAGCCATTGTTGTAGCTTAAAAGCACTCTTACTTTAGACAAAAGGTATATCTGTGAGAGGAGCATAGTCATATAGTGTCGTTTAAGGTTTATGTGGTATTCATGCTAAGTATAATAGTTTGACACTTGGAACAGCAAGGCATGCATTCTTATGTTTTTGGAGATTCCTAGCGTTGTAAAGAAGAAAGAAGAGAGATGATACTATCCCTAAAGGACAGCATGACAGAATGATTATCAACCCTTTTTGTTTATGTAATCTGTTTTCTATAACAGAGGCAGATTTGCAGAATAACAAAACAAAAATCCAGTAAATTTTAGAATGCTACTGAAGAATTTGTGCAAAGCTTTAGCTAGCCTGTACTGAGTATCTGCTTAATGACATGGTTGATAATGTTTGTTCTCACAGTCATCTTATGAGTGAATCTCTCAGCTAATATGGAGACCTGTTCCCTGCAATTATTTGTTGTAAATTTTCATCTTTGAAAATAATTGTTTTTGAAATGCTGTCTAAAGTATCTGACCCGGTCATGTTCCCCCCTACACTTCAGATTATATAATTCATCTTATTTTTATTTTCAGTGGTATTGTAGGAAACAGTGCAGCCACACTTTTGACAACAATTGAAGAAATGCATTTGTTGAGCAAGAAAATATTCTTTAATAGCCTGAGTCTTCATGCAAGTAAACTAATGGACAAGGTTTGTTTCAAAATCATGCAGCTTTTGTGTTTCAGAACACACTTTCATTTCCCTTTTGTCTAGTAATATTATTAGATGAATAGCTGTTTTACATGTCAGCTTTTCCAAAAACTAAAGTTTTGTAGTTTCTATATTTTAGCTATGGAATGACATGAAAAACTTGCTGTTTATGTTTTAATTCTTTTAATAGCTTTATTTTTGTGAAAATACGGCTAAAATATTGTTAGCAATATTTGTTTACAGAGCAGTTTGCATATTTTAAAAATCTGTGAGAAGCAACAAAAAGGAAATTTCCCTGAGTGCAATAGAGCACAGTCAGGTAATTGTGCTAGATAATTTGTATTAATGCATCACCTGATCAGTAGTTAGTTACTCATGTGCTTCATTCCTTTCCTGAATTTATACTCCATAACCCAAGATGGTAAGCTAAGTAAAAACCAAACTTGGGCTTTTCTGTCTTTTATAAAAATAGTTTTATCACATGAACACTGCTACCTTTAAAAGCAGAATATAAGTTTATAATACCAAACAAATGTACCTAAGCCAGCATCACCTTCCTGATATATTTTCCTCTTCTGATGATTGCTTTGAATGGCATATCAGTGAACTTCCCATTGTTCAGTAACAAATACAGCTCTTTCTAATTTCTCCCTGCTGTGTTTGTATCATATTGCTGTTGCTGGATCCGCCCAGTAAATCTCACCTGTCTAAAATCTAAGCAAAGTCAAAGAAAGTTGTTAGGGTACACATCCCTACACATCTGATCTTCGTCCAACATCCCTGTCTGAGATGTGATGACTTCATTAAGCCCTAAAACCAAGAAAAGTTGCCTTTCTTTATTCCTAGTTATTTCACAACCCGAGTTCAACAAAGCTCTTGCGTTACTGTTTTTTCCAGTTGAAAAAAAAAAAGTTTGTAAGTGGAAAACAAACAGTGAAGTTTTGTAAATGTGTTTCTAAATTGTTTGTACTTAATCTACAAGAAAAATGCAAAAAATACATAGATTTACAGAAACTATTCTTTGTGCAAAGCCTTGTAGTCCACTGACCGACCATTCAGTAGGATTTTCTGAGTTTAGTCAATGTTGTTCTGTGGTCTCATAGTAGTTTTCTCATTCTGCATGGCTTGCTTCTGGTCCCAGTTTCCTGTCTTTATGCAAGGGCCGAGGAATGACTTCCTCAAAAGAACAGTTGTTCCTGTTCTTCTTCTTCCCTTCTGTGTATCCCAGTGACTCCTTTCAGTGGTTTCATGTGTTCAGCGGGTTACTCCTTAGTTGCTACCACCCACAGTCCATGCTGCTAAGGTCCACTTAGTATGTTGTTTGTTATCATGGGGTATTTCCATTTGAATGCAGTGTCATTAGAATAGTAGCTGCTCGCTACTAATGCTTCTTCCAGGGTCAGTTAAAGCTTGAGTTCATAAAATGTACAATGGACAGGAAGAATAGGAATTTAGCCCCCCCCCCCCCCCCCAAAAAAAAAATAGAAGCTTACAGCTTGCTATGGGCATATGCTAGCTGTATATGAATTTCAAAACATTTTATTTCCTAATACGTAAGCTAAAATGTGTGTGCTTGTTCTTTTTTGAAGAGAAATCAGTGACGGATCTTTGCAAAATATATGACTGGTCTTTACTTACAAAGAAGGTGCAAAGTAGTGCTAAAGAATACAAATTTTCTTGGCTTGAAACTGTAAGACAGCTCTGTATTCATCTCTGTGGTATTTAGCTCTCTTGTATTTATCCTGCTGGGTCCTACATCTGTACTCAAACAAGATCCAGCATAATATTTCTGCTCTTGTAATTCACAGTCTTTGTACTTTTGTTTTGGATGATACACTGTTTTCAGTTTGGAGATGCATAGAATTCAGAAGGAGAGGAAGGAGTGATAAAGGAGTTGTGATCCCCCCAATTTGTAGCGTGTGTTTTTTGCATTGTCACTATGGGAAGCCCTCTTAGTTCCCCTTCGCTCAGCCTCTAGCCTGCCATGTAACTGTCTGGCTCTAGATGCTGCCATTGTTTTATAAGGGAGTTGAATTTGGTTTTACTGACATTAAATGAAGGCGGTGATTGTGCTGCCACCTTCAGTGGTGTTTTGTTACAAATAATGAATGGCATACCTAGCCTACCATGTAACAACATAAAAAGATCATAATATTGCTCTTTCTCATAAGTACATTTTATAAATGAAATCTGAAACAATTTTACATTACATATGTGCCCTATGGAGATCTTTCTTCAGGATATAACTGAGGTCAGAAGCTTAAAGAGACTCAGAAGAGGATTAGCTATATGAGTAACACGGGCATCCACAGTTATTTATTAATCTCTGTGCTTCAGGAGTTAACAATGAAGTAATCCTATAGCTGAGAAGGAATCTTACTGTACTGATGTATAGCTCTTGTACCTAAGACTTGTAGACAGTCCTTTGAGGCACCTTATGTTATTACCCTTTATGAGTGGACTACTGAATTGATAGAATGATGTCTTATCTCCTCATGACTGGAATTAGTTTTACTTCCCCAAAAATACAGCATTAATAGGGTGAATTACACTCAGAGAAACATTAGTTGCCATGAGATAAAGACCCTATTTTATCATAAATTTAATTCTCCTGTTACTTAGTTTATTGTGTGTTAATATACAGATAACCAGCTTTTAGGCCTTTTCATATGTCTTCGTTAATTTAGTGGTGAATGTCACAATGCTTTTACAGTTTGAGGAATCTCAAGGTTGCTTTTTACCATCCTTTTTATTAATGTGTGTTCAGACCAGAATTGTCTGTATGTATTAGTAGGATTCTCTTCACATTCCAACCTTTTTACCAGCTTTTTGCTAACTGTGTATGCACTGCAGCTGCTTCCAGAATTTTTTTTCTTTTCAGAGAAGATTAAAGCACTGGAAAACGGTCTCTTTGTGCTTACATATGCAAGTGCAAAGGCAAGGCTTTTTTGGTGCTTCTGTCATGCACTAAGAGAATACTGACTTGTAAAATTACTAAATTACTTTTCACTTGGACAGTCTGGAAATCATGGTTCATTATTTCCACTTGTATTTTGCATCTTAAGGCATTGATAAGCCTGTTTGAAAAAATATCAGCTGTCCATTACTTTGATTAAAATATGATTCTTAAGGCAATTTAAGTAACTCTGGAAATAGATTAAAATACAAATAGGGTGTTCTTAAATAAAAATATTTTTTATTTCTCTAAACTTAAGTGCCTCTTAACATTAGATCATTGGAAAGTGGGTGAGTTACACCATTTTAATGATAGTGTTCCCTCAGTATCATCAGTTGTTGCTAATAATCTGAAAATAGTAAGCAAGAAATTGTGAATGGAAATCAGTTTTACAATTTTTATTTAATTTAAAGAGAATTTAAGTGTTTTCTTAATTGCTCTTTGTAGCTATGAAATTCCAGAAGACTTAGTCATAATTACCAGTGAATTTGTAACTTGATAAGAGCCTTTTTAGCCCTGTGCAAATTCTCTTGTGCTATAGTGTGGGGAGAACTGTCTAAAACTACTGGTGTGTTACTGTGTCTTGCTGTGGTATGCTTTTCTAATATCTGCAGGTGGTCTAGTGGTTGATAGGCCAGAACAGTATTTAAGCAAATTTTTCTCTTAAGTATCGCCAGTTGGAAACTGTTCTTAGGCAAAGCAGGTTTCATTAAGTATGTTAACTCCTCAAGATCCCTTCCTTTGGAAGTAAATGAATGGCAGGATCATAATTTGACTCTGATGTCCTCATCAACACAGAATTTAATTCCCTAGGTTATCGATTATGCTGAGTTGAGCATTGCCTTCAAACTGCCTGGGATTTAATTTCGGAAGCGCAGTGGGAAACTGAGACTTCAGGCTGTTCCTTTTAGGACAAGAATATAGCTTCCTCTTTACCTCTGTTTTTGAGAAGAGTCCCATGTTACATAACGAGTGTCACAAGCACAGAGCTGTATGGAAATTTGAAGGCAATCTTAGATCAGGATTCTCCCTCTTGGTTGTCAAGCCATCAGTGTAAATGATACAGGGAAGTCCCTGGTTATTTCAGAGTACTTATTGGCTTGCTCAGAAGCACTGTGAACATTTTTTTTTTCATTACATCAGAAAATCTCGAGGATCTTTGTTGTAATCTGAAAAGAAGGTAGTCAGCAGTTATCACAACTTCAGACTCTTCAGTCTGAGACACCTTTTTATGGTGTTCTCATTCTCACTTCTCAGGTAGCTCTTTACAATCTGGAATCTATGGAACAGAAATGTTCAGTGTACTACCTGAAAGTAAGTCCTATGTTAGGAAGGAAATGCAATACACAAGGGAGTCTCTTTCGTTCCGATACTCCCTGAGATCTGTTGTGAAGCTTGGTAACAGAGTCATTGCAAGGCCATTTTTTTTCAGGGTTTAAAATGCCTTTTGCAGGTTTGAGATTCGCAGGTCATTTCAGAGCTCAACGCTGACATTGTGTAGAAGCTGTGCCTCAGCACCCTTCTCTCCTGTGTCACTGAAGGCTCAATACATCAGCTTTTACTGCAAATGCTATCTCTGTATTGTTGGCTCTTATCCTTCAGAGGCAGTGTTGGGCAGTCTCGCCAGTGCTTTCTAGCTCTGGTAATAATTGTTTTGTTCTGGTTGTTGGTTCAACCAGAATGTTTTTGGGCCAGTGTTACAGTGACCCTCTGCTGAAAAATCGTGTTTGTATTTGTTTCTTTTTAGCTTTCTTGGACCTAGCCATGGGTCTAACAGCCATGCTAGTAAAGCAGATCAGAAGTAACAGGTTCAGTCCTTATGTATCCTTTTATGTGTTTCCTTTGACCCTGTGCTTATAAATCAAATGTTTAGGAATTTGGGATTCTGCTAGTGTTACTTGCTGTCTGGATGTAACTCAGAACAGCCTGCTACAGATTACCATTTTACAGAGGATGATAAATCCAGGAGAAAATGCTAAATGAAAAAAATAATAATCAGAACAACAGAAACTGTTCCAATGAAACTGGAAGCAAAGTTCAAAGCACCTAATGTGCTGGAGTGGATGAACTGCTCTTTCAGTTCTCTCATATTGAGAGAATTGCCATTTAAAGTCATGAGTCCACTGATGAGGCATTTTAACAAGCTTGTTAGACTAACCTATGCCAGCATGTTTTATTGGACCAGCTAATACATTAGGGGAGTGGGAATTTTCAAGCACACCTGTCCATACTCTGGCTTCAGTAGTACTCCAGAACAATTATTAAAGGACAGAATAATTGAAAACATTGAATTAACCTTCCAGTATTTAAAGGGGGCCTATGGGAGAGATGGGGAGGGACTCTTCATCAGGGAGTGTAGCGACAGGATGAGGGGTAACAGCTTTAAGCTGAAAGAGGGTAGATTTAGATTGGATATTACAAAGAAGTTTTTCACTATGAGGGTGGTGAGGCACTGGAACAGGTTGCCCAGGGAAGTTGTGGATGCCCCATCCCTGGAGGTGTTCAAGGCCAACCTTTTGTTTGTCGCTCTAAGCAGTGTTTTCTCTGAGTAGTCCTGTGTTTAAAATTACCTTCTTGTTTTATTTAGTGCTAGTATCACAGAATTGCAGAGAAGGAACCTCCAGAGATCATCTAGTCCAACCATCTTGCTCAAAGAGTGTCAGCTAGAGCAGGTTGCCCAGGACTGGTTCCAGTTGAGTTTTTAATGTCTCCAAGGATGGAGACTCCACATCCTCGCTGTGTAACTGTCTCCAGTGTTTGACCCACTTCACAGTAAAGAATTGTCTTCCAGTGTTTCAGTCTGTGCCCATGGCCTCTTGTCCTGCCAACAGACACCACTGAGAAGAGTCTGTCTCCCTCTTCTTTATCCCTCCCATAAGGTATTTATACACATTGATAACATCCTCCCTGAGCCTTCTCTGGGCTGAACACAGCCTCTTCTTGTGTAGGAAATACTCCAGTCCCTTCATGAACTTTGTGGCCCTTTATTTGAGTCACTCCAGTATGCCCATGTCTTTCTGTACAGTTAAACTTTCTAATATTCGAGTAGGATAGTATATAAATAGTTTTGATTGCTTGCCTATACAGCATTTTCAGTATTTACAGGTGCACATATGAGGTTCTAACAAAGCTGCTTTCCTTGATATCTGCTCTAGTCCTTAATGCAATTAACTGTATTTGATAGGAACAACAATTGCACATTTGTTTTTCTATTTAGCCTTCTTTGTAAATGAGAAGGGGAAACAACATACATGCCTCTCTTCTTGATTGTTGATAACTGCATTTTCTTTTTCCTGTATTTTCCTTTGCTGTTTGTTAAATCCTTCAAGACATCCTTTGAGCTACTTGCTCTCACAGACAGAGAAGCCTGCTCTGATTGTGTATTTGGAAGAAGGTTACTGGCTTAGTAACTGTTCCACCACAGATTGATACGCAGAACTTTAAATGAAGATACAAACTTTCATACTAAACCTTATGTACAACTTTTAGTGTCCATTCTAATTTCAGGAGAATTAATTTCAGTTTTGTATATTGGATTTTAAAAATTGAGAATGTCTTGTTTTCTTTGAAAGGCTGAACAGCTAGTTGGCCTAATTTCTGCATGACTGAACTGCTGGTTATTATTAACTTATTAACTGATTAGACACTTAATACTGTGTTAAGAGTATGTTTTAATGCTGTTGAACTAGCTGCTACAGAACTTCTCTGATAATTTTTTTAGTTAGCTCCCATCTGGCTTGCATCTGAAGCAGGTACTTCAAAAGTAGAAGTTATCATCCATTTCAAATATATTTTTTCTGGAAATAGGATCAATTATAATAATCTTCTAGTGCACGTAAAACATTCAGAGCATAAACTTTTTTTATTAGAGTAGCAATTTGGCTCTCACAAACTGAAATCAGTAGGTTACTCTATAAATTAAGTATGTCTGTTTTTAAATGTTCCTTTTTAATTCTGAAAAAAACTCCAATCTGTGTTCATGTGCAAAAAGTTAAAATTTTCAAAGTGAATATATTACTGCTTTAATTTTCCTTCCACTTGCTGATAATTGTGCCTCTATTGCAGGGGTCAGGAATTTCAAGCTAACTCCAACAGAATCTAATGATCTAAACCTTTTTTACTTTCTGTGTTTTCTTCTTCCATAATATTGTTCCTTGTTCCCATCTAGAAGACGGTGGACTTTAAAAGAACAGATCAAATGAAAGATGAAGCTAATTTAGAAACTTCTGACCATCAGCTACTTCAGGAGACAAAAATTCTGTGCAAAGAAGCCTGAAATTATCATTGTCATTATCTATGTGTGTTTTGAAAGTGAAAACTCCATCAAACTCTAGTCTCAAATTAATGCCAAAATATCCCTGAACACGGTCCAGTTCAGGTCTGAGAACAGTGTGTTCAGGGCACAATCAATATCCCTCTAATAATGACAAGAATAAACAAGAAGAAAGTCACTGAGTGCTGTAAATTTCAGTAAACTTCACTACTAAACAGCACTGTATAAGTGCCTCTTCCCGAATTACTGTTACTTCAATGCTAGGATATTTGTTTTATGCTTTTGAGATTGCTTAGGCTGAACAACAGCTGTTCTCTGAACCTGTTAGATTTAGTTTTCCATTAGTTCCTTGAATTTGGTGTACTATCTCTGGGAAAGTGAGAACAGAGGAACACTTTGTATTCAGAAGGATGCAAAAATGGTTTTGTTTGATCTGTCTTACCGTGATCACGTATGGTACCTCAAATGATTCAAAACACACAAAGTGTGAAAGCTAGGCCTGGCTGCAAGGAGAGTTGTTTCTTCTTTCTCTGGCAGAGTGTTCATTAGGTACAGATTCATTTCCAGAAGGCTCAGTAATGCTTCACTCTGAAAATGCCAGTTATGCTCTCCTTGATTTCTTTGGCCATCATCCTCTGCCCTTTTGTTTTTTTTTTTTTTTTCTATTCCTTGTAGACTCAGACATCCATGTTATGAATGCCGTTAATTAGTAGTTCTCATTTGGAAAGGTAGGGAATATGTTCCCTGTGGCTTGGGGGTCCATCCAAAGCTGCCTTCTTTTCTTGTTGAGCTGGAGTCTTAAGAGCACTGCAGAAGTGCACACTGCCTTGCTCTGCTGCTCCCAAACACCTTGAGTGGGACACACAGGCCAGTCCCAGTCTTGGCCAACCTTTTCTGTACATCCTTCTGGAAAGAAACTGAGCCTTGAAGTGTTAGCTTATTCTGTATTGCTGGAGGTCTTCTGACTCTCACGTGATCCAGACGGATCTGTGTTTGCCCTTGGAGAGGCAGGAGACAGAAAGGTTGGAAAAGGGTTGTTGGCAGAAGGAAACGAGACCAGCTGTCTGGGTTGTAATAAGGGTCTGGAGGCAGGAGGAAACCAGTTTGAGGCAGCATTGAAGACAAAAAGATGCAGCTACTTTTTTTTTCTCTAAGATTTACAAACTTCTTTCTGTTTTTAAACACCTGCGGTTCCTACTTCTCATCTTTGATGGAAGCCTGCATTCAAGTTCCTGTAGCACTGTGCAGTTTCTGTAGGTGTACTTGAATTAGCTTGTGTATAGTTTGTGTACTGCCAATTTAAGGTACAGACTTGCTAGGGATTGCTAGGGACTGTTGCATCTGTGACTGCAGTTCTCATACTCAGCATAGGGGCTGTGCAGCCTTGTCAAGAAGTTTACTTCATTCAGCTGCTGCAGTATGGCCCTGATATCCCAGAGCTCTGCCTGCACTACATTCTGGAGTGTTCTAGAGGTCCTGCTCAAAGTGAGCTCAGTGGTGCCAACAGTGTGGCTATTCTTTGACACCTAATCTAGCAAATGTATCTTTTTTTACTACCAAAAATTGTAGTGTTTGGGCTTCTCTACATTATAAAATAGGCCTAGTCTGAATGAAAGGAGAAATTCATTTTTGTTTGTCACTGAATGGGATGCTTATGCTGAAAGTTGCAGGCAGTTATTGTCTGAAATATGCTAGATTTATCCAGTGTCAAATTAAAATTCTTCTCTGCATGGCTACATGTAATTTTATTATTAGCCAGTTGCATTTGTGCTAACAGGTTGGATGGTGTTTCTGAAAAAATTAAATTAAAAAAAAAAACCAAACCACAAACAGATAATCGTATTCCTCAGGTTGAACTCCCACCACCTGATCTTGGCCCAAGCTCTGCACTAAATCAGACACTTAACTTGCTACGGGAGGTTCTGTCATCTCACGACTCATCTGTTGTTCCACTGGATGCCCGTCAAGCTGACTTTGTGCAGGTATGAGAATATTTGGCTGTTCTGAAGAGGAGGGGGGAAAAAAAGTGTGTGTAAATTAGTCTCAGTACTCAAAAGATGGGTGAAACATTAATCTTTTTGTCTGGTCCCGTTTTGGAGCTTTCTACCAAACCCAAGTTTGTAATAAGAGGATGACTAACACAGTGGATAATTACAGTAACAATATGGAGTGCTACTCTTAACGCAGTATCTAAATTCTGTTATCCAATTACTACTCCATTCTGTTATCCAATTACTACTCCATTAAGTAAATACACTTTCAAGGTTGCATAGTTACCAATTATCTAATCTGGGTTACTCTTCCCCCTGCTAGGTTGGAATCTGTTCTTCTCAGGTTTTTACACTTTTCCCATCACTATGGTAGCTGATCACCTGCTGACAAATCCAGTAGAAAACTGCTTTCACAGTTGGAAACTCATTTCTCTTTATTCTGCTTTGGGGAATAAATATGTGATGGAGATAGAATGAGCTTAGAAGCCTCATGTGACATGATTTCCTCCCTCCTCTCCCTCTTTTCTATGTGTTTGCTATTTTAGGTTCTGTCTTGTGTGCTAGATCCATTGTTACAGATGTGTACTATGTCTGCTAGTAATTTGGGCACAGCTGATATGGCAACCTTTATGGTAAATTCGCTTTATATGATGAAGACTACTTTGGCTCTCTTTGAATTCACTGACAGTCGTCTAGAAATGTTACAGTTTCAGGTAAGCTTTAAGAGCTCCAGAGGAAAATGAACTTTTTAATGATTTTTGCAGACTATAATTTGTGATGTGAACTTACTAATCTTTGATAATGTTGGCTTTGGGTCAATTCTAAATCCGGGAAATGGGATAAGGGGGCTTCTTATCAGAGACCATAAGCAAAGAGCAGGTATCAGAGCTTATGGTACCCAGCATCTTTCATTTTAAATGGACAAAAAAATTATTAGAAAATTTGTATTGGTTTGGTTGCAGATAAACCCATATCAGTGAACATTTTTGTTATCCTAATCACTATGATATTTATCTGCAAACTGCGAGAAGAAGCAAATGCAAGTTGAGAGCTCAGTCAAGTGACTGACTATATTATATCATATAGTTAATACTGGATCATTGAAGTTACTGCTTCAGTCATTCTTTCTACCTTTCTTTTCTCATTTGTTTGGTTTCATCTAGTGTTCCAGGATAGCAGGTCATGTGTGGTACCATTTTAAAATGGAAATATACTTTATAAACCATTGACTTGGGAAAACTTCGGTACTGCCCATTTATAGTTTTGTTACATGAACATGTCTCTAGTATATCAGGAGAGGTTTTGGAGCCGGGGGGCTTGACAAAAAGTCATAACTTCTTATTTGAAGGCATCAGTAAAGATTGGCTGTGAGCCATTTTTCTCTTTCTACTCCTAATTAGAATTTTTAGCACCTTTTAGCTCTGAAACAAACACAGATAACACCACCAAACTGTCTGGGGCATTTGTAATTTCCATTATCGGAGTTTCTTTTTCACGGTAAATGTTGTAATTGATTTATTCTTCAAATAAGCAGTAGAACTGAAGGTTACGCATTTAATACCATTTATTTTCTTCATACATTTTACAAATACAGGGACAGACTTAAAAATATCTTTAAGATTATACATAAGTAGGTTATTAAAGTGGAGTTAGAATGGCATATTTAATAAGAGAAACATTTTTTGTAGAAGAAAATAACTCTCTAGGACAGTTAAAATCTCCAAGTTGAAATATTAATATTTCCCTCCTGATTTAAGAAGAAAAGTGCACTTTTCTAAACAATTTTAGGAAGTAGAAAGGTGAACACTTAAAATATCAGACATGGAAGTTTTACATTTTGCTAGAATTTTATATAAATTTTTTGCTTTTCTTTAGGATTTGAAGAAAAATAAATGAAATGTGGAGTAGTTATCTGTAAAAATGAAGTAATAATTTATATATACCTAAATATCTTTCCAGACTACTCAAATTAAAAAGATGATTGCTGCTGCTGTGACTGGATTAATTGATCAGGTTTCTCTGCAAAGTGGAGATTATACTAAGAATGTAAAATATGTTTATGACTTTTTTCATATGAAGATAATTAAAGCAAAATTGATAGCTGTAATTTCATTGTCTGTTGTTCTTTCAGTTAACTTTTTTCAGATACATGTCAATCAGTACTGAAATTAAAATTATTGCTGATTATTATTTAGCTTTAGTTTTATTTTCCTTGTGAAAGGCTGTCTCTTTCTCTTGTTTATTATAAAACTGACATCCTATTGTCAATTTTTCAATAAAAGTTAGATGATTTATATCACATTTACAAAGAACTATAGCAAAATAAAATGATATAGCAATTTTTAAGATTAGAGCTTTGGTATTTTTGGTGCTGTTATATTTGCAAATACAGAATAAAATTAGTGTCTTCTGTTAGTCAGATGTGAAAGAATTATCTATATTTTTGTTATTCGGTCCTTGTAATATAGAAGGTGTAAATGGAAGACCTAATTATGCTGTGTGTATTTGTGGTTTTTCCTTGTTTGTTGATCACTGTACTCCTTGTTTGTGTTTTTTCTTCTTATTTGTGTTTCTCGACCTTTTAAACCCAGAGCTTGTTTATTTAATATTCTCATGCACATTTTATAAATGCCTTATGCTTAAAATTTCAGATTGAAGCTCATTTAGATACACTCATAAATGAACAAGCTTCCTACGTGTTAACAAGAGCTGGTCTAAGTTACATATATAACTCTGTGCAGCAACACAAACCAGAACAGGTAAGCTTATATAATGTAGGTGTTGAGGAGGTACTGCCTGCTTTCCAACTAGAATAATTTTGGCACGAATATTTTTGTAAATTAAGCCTCCTTGGAAAGCAAAAGCTCGGTAATATCTGTTGATTTTCATACGGGACCGGAACTATGAGACAAAGGCACCTTGCAAGTACAGATTTCCCCTACGCTGTATATTCAGCAAGCCTAGCAAGTTCAGTATGCTACAATCTTTTTGTGAAGCTTATCTGTGTACCATTAACACGCTCCATATACCACAGACGTCCTGTGTGTTCTCAAAATAACTGCATAGGTAGCTTAATATTCCTTCAGAAAGTGTCAGTCAAGCTGGCTTTAAAATATGAATACTTAGTATGTATACCACTTCCATGACACCTAGAACCTATTGGACCTATTGTGCGTGTAGCATTCGGGTTTCCGGTGAGACACTGGAACAGGTTGCCCAGGGAAGCTGTGGATGACCCATCCCTGGAGGTGTTCAAGGCCAGGCTGGATGAGGCTTTGGGCAACCTGGTCTAGTGGAGGGTGTCCCTGCCCATGGCAGGGGGGTTGGAACCTGATGATCTTTAAGGTCCTTTCCAACCCAAACCATTCTATGATTCTATGATTCTTCCATTGCATGCTTTAGCATACATGGCATGGATGGGTATCCTGCATGCATTAAATCACTGCTGCTTTTTTCTTCTGTGAAAAATTGGCAAATGAGTTTAGTAGTAATTTGAAATAATTTCTTCTTTTGTCCTTATTCATTGCTCTAGCTATTCTAGCACCAAGACAGTGAGATTCTAAATGTGAAAACTTGAGCTTTCTTAGAGTGAGTTGAAAACTAGAATTTGGAGCTCATGCTCTTCCTCTCTTGTGAACCACAGTTGTTATGTGATAGATTTTAATACAGCCCCTCTTTGCTGTGCCTATGTCCTTTTGTGGTCTTTTGTGAAGTGAAGAACAGTGTTTACTGGAGAAAGCAGAACTCTGTTGGAGAGCTTTCTGTTGTATCTTCAGCCAATAATTTTGCATAAGATGCCCAAACTGAACAGATTTTTATGATTAAAGATAAATGTATGAATAATCTGATTAATAACTCAGTTTGGTTTCCTATTCATGAGCCTATCTCCTGTTCTAAAACCAATTTCAAGTCGACCAGGGCATATTGTTAATAGAATGTAGCAATTTTCATTTATATCTGTCCAGCTGCATGGCTGTAGAGGTGATGATGGATTTGCTAGGGGGTTAGGCAGCATGTATGTATTGTAATGCCATACCAGTACAGAAGATTTACTGGGAAGCAGGCTTGAATTCTACATGGTCCCGAAATGGATGAATAGAGGAAATTTGTCCTCTGTAATTCTGGAACACCAAGGGAATGTGCCCAGTTTGCAGTTCAGTTTTTATCCTGGGCTTCATGGAAGGTTTTTTTTGTGGTTTATCATTTAATGTTGAAGAAGGAAGAAAAGGACTTGAAAGGACATATTAGGAACTTAACACTCCAAGTTTTTCATTTAAGAGAGCAGTAGAATACAAATGAACTGTTACGGCATTTCAGTATTGATATGGTGATGCAGTTTCCAAACATTTAGATCCTGTAGCAGGACCAAATAACAATTTAGTACTGAACTAATTGTAGAATTTATTATTTCTTCTCTTTTTCCATACACTAGTATGACATTTTTTTCTCCCCCCTTTGACTACTGATTTTTAGGGTCCTCTTTCAAATTTGCCAAGTATGGATTCTGTGTCCCTGAAGGTTGCAATGGTAAGCATTTTACAATTTCGTATTATTGTGGTGATGCTGTGACATGGGAAAGAATACTATTAATTATGTGATGTAGTAGATATTTATCTAACCAGTCCTACTCTTTAAGAATAGCTAAATTACATGTCTGGGAATACTTTCTTCATTTGTAGTAATTTGACCACTTGAAGTAATAAATACATAAATTATTTATGAATGGGTAGTAATAGAATATTAGTTTCTAAGCCTTGAGAAACAGAACTTTACTTACAAGAATGCTATCCCATGAGTCATCTTAAATTGCTAAAAGCAAATATTTAGCTCTAATTAGTTTTAATCACCGAAGTTTCTTTTTTGTCTTGATGGTTTGAAGTACAGGCTTGGCTATCATTTATAATTTTAGTCCTAAGGCTTTGATTTTATGCAAATAGTACAGCTAAACTCAGAATTTAGGTGCTGGGCATAAGTCACAGTCATAGTTTTTAAGCTGAAAGCTACAATGTATTTTAAAACAAATTATTCAGCTGGTATTTTTTTCTTAGAGTGTGTGAAGGCTATTTTACATAGAGATAGCAATATCATAGTTCAGTAGGCAGTAATATATGATCTGTCACTCTTCTTGCTTAGCCAAGTTTATCTGTATTCTGAAAGTTTAACTGTAAGTAAGGCCCGCTCATCCAGCAGTACATGCATACCTCCACGAAAAAAAGTATTTTTAAAATAAATTATTTTTGAAAAATATTTTTAAAAAATTGTATGTTGAATCTATTCTGATTGCGTCAATGTAGCCTGTTTTCCTCTGTTCAAGTTTTAAACCTGTGATTCCCAAGCTGGTTAGAGGAATAGATATCTGGCACAGAGCACTAAGTGGTTTACTCAAATCAACATGCATTCTTATCAATATTTATAAATTTTGAATTTAAAATATCTTCTATTTATCATGGTCCTGTAGACCAACAAGGAATTTAAAGACTGCAGCTTGGGGACCATCTCTTTAAAATATATATATGTAACTTTTATATGTAGCAGTACATAATAATTTCACTTGAATAGTTAGGGAAGAATCCAGCTCTCATTTTCTTCATTGTTTTGTTTGATGTCTGCTTATGTGAACACATTTTAACCAGAATGGTACCCAGTGTGCTGAAATCAAACCCACATAAATCCCATCTGTCAGCCTAATCTGTTGGCTTCCCAGGGTTTAAACCATGTGGAGGGAGTACTTGCAGGCAGATTCACTGCCTCCCAACTTAGCCTGAAAGTTTTCCAGGTCTCAGCCTGTTAAGTTTTTCATATGTGCTTACAAATGCTGTTCTAATAAAGTCCGTACCTCTCTCTCAGCTAAAGCTCCCTTGTTTTCCAATATAACCCCAAAAAGTTAGTTCATGAGAACTGTGAGTGACTTCGTTAGTCATTTCTGCCCACTTTTTGCATGTTTAAATGATAGACAGATGTGGATTTTAGGGTTTACCAGCTTGAGAAAATTCATCCAGTGCTTAGGAAGGTTGCCATCGTTAAAGTTGCCTAGAACCTTTGCCTGAGAAATGGATCTAAACTAGAAGAGGGCAGATTTAGACTAGATATTAGGAAGAAATTCTTTACAGTGAGGGTAGTGAGACACTGGAACAGGTTGCCCAGGGAAGCTGTGGATGACCCATCCCTGGATGAGGCTTTGAGCAACCTGGTCTAGTGGGAGGTGTCCCTGCCCATGGCAGGGGGTTGGAACTCGATCTCTAAGGTCCCTTCCAACCCAAACCATTCTATGGTTCTGTGAATTACAAGAATGGAGATTATACACCTTGTCTGGGTAACCTGTTCAGTATTTGATGACACTCCCAGTGAGAATTTTTCATCTTACTATCTAATCAGAATTTTCCTTAGTGTAATATGTGTCCAGTATTACTCATGTTTTCACCTGTGAGAAGACCTGACTCCATCTTCTCTGGTTTGTGTTGGAAAGGGACCTTTAAAGATCACCTGGTCCAACCCTCCTGCCATGAGCAGAGACATCTTTTACAGGCTCAAAACCCTGTCCAACCTGATAATGAACAATTCCAGGGATGGGGCATCCACAACTTCTCAGATAGTTGAAGACAGCAGTAGTGTTCTTTCTTAGAGTTTTCCTCTCTAAACTGCTAGAATCAAAGCACCACTTTTTTTTCACTATTTTATATGGGGGAGGAAAAGCAAGCTTCGAAGCAGTTCAAAGGGCCTGAACTAGGTCCCTTGCTCTTGTTTTTCCCAATGTAAGTGCTCATTAGATTATTAAGCACTTTCTCTCTGCCAAAAAGTAAAAAGAAACATGTAGAAGAAACATGTGGCATGTCTAACTTGGACAGACTGGATTTCTGTCTGGAGGCTACTGTATTCTCTCTGTACTGAATAGACTAGGTCTGATCTTCAGAGGTGCATGCATACCTGCACCAGCTGCATAGGAAACTTAGAGTGATAATTATGGAAGCTGTATTCTTATTATTTGCCCTTCCACCCATACTCTTCTGAGTCAGAAACCTAAAATTTTGTTGACAGAGATGCTGAAGTTAGACATTTGTTTTGGACTATTAAGGTCTACCCTAAACTTTTGTATGTGATGTTAGACTCTACCTTAAATATATAAAAAGAGAAAATTTTATCAAGAAAGTGCCATTTTAATGTAATAACTTTTCAGAGATCTGTGTTGTTACCTATTTTCGTGTAACAGCAAATTCTTAATATGTTGATCTCCTATTCTCTCCGCTCCCCACATCCCTAGGCTCAGTTTGATCGCTATCTGTCTGCTCCAGATAGTCTGTTAATGTCCCAGCTGAATTTCCTTCTGAGCGCCACTGTGAAGTAAGTACCTTACCTTTGAATTTCTGTTATGCCTGCATAATGATCAGAAGGATGAATTTGACTAGGTTTTAGTGGATCAGGATGAGAATTCAAGTTCTCAGCTGCAGTCCTATCTGTATTGTCCTTCAGGTCACAGTTCAGTTTTGTTTTAACTCTCCTCTTTTTGAACAAGCAGCGAGGAACATGTAATTCTGTAACTTTCTGAAGTAGTTACTTTTGATTTAACAGACACCATCAAAATGAGTTATATTCATCTATTTTGAACATGTTCTGCTGTGTTGGCAGTTTTTTGTCAACTTAGTTGTAAATTGTTTTAGAACTATTTTGTAAGCATTCCAAAGACAGATGAAATGTGTAATTCTCCACTCAAGATCTTTTATCCCCACTACTCTGTCAGGTCTAGAATTTTCAACTTTGTTGGCTTCTGCTGTAGAGTACTGGCATTCTGTCTCATTGAATATTGTGCTGACATTACTTTACTTTTCTCCTAATGTGGTGTTTTTTAGCAATTTCTTCTTCGAAGTATGGAAATTAGAAGTTTATATTTATCTCTTCTCTTGTTTTTTTTGAATATAACTGAACCCTAAGGCTAGGGAAAGTGCCACAATTTTTTTTTCAATTAAATGTGAACCATAGGAAAACATTTTATAGTACTTAAACTCAGAGAATTATATGCTGCACTGATCAAAAACTTCTCTTGAAATTTCTTCACAGAAGTGTGAAAAATATTCAGGTTACAGAATATACCAGAGATTGAGACTAACACATCACATTTTATGTAATGCAACAATATTTGGAGTCTCATTACTAGTACCTGTCCTCAGTGGGGTTGTATTACAGCATCTGGCAATTAAAAAATGACATGTCACGGGAAAAATATTTATTGTTGGGAATTTATTAGAATAGAATAGAATAGTTCAGTTGGTTGGAAGAGACGTACAACAATCATCTAGCCCAACTGCCAGGTTCTCCTGCTGTATTGCTTAGATTATCCTTATCCAATGACTTCCAGTATCGTGCCGTTTACCTGGTGCATGGCTTGTCCTGGGGTATGTTGGTGCTTTTCAGTAGTTCATTGGGGGTCTCTGCTAGGGTTACTGTTCCCCAGACCCTGCTGTGTGTACTGCAGCAGAACAGCTCTTGCATCAAACAGGGCAGCTTGAGCAGTCATGGCAATGAAGCATTGCAACTTCTGCTTCTAGATCTCAAGCTATTAAACCTGTATTTTAGCTCTAGGTATTTTTTTTCATGTAGGTCTATTTAAAAATCATAATAGTGTAAATGTATTTTGAATGCCTCAATCTTTCACTAACACAGAAGCAATTTTTCAGAGGTAGACTTTATGCTGCCATAAAGATTCGGGCACAGTGAAATTACTTTCGCTTAATCATTTCTTCTGTCAGATGAACCAAGATAAATTGGTCATGTATGCACTATTAGCCTTATCCCATTGATAAGCTTTTTAAACCTGTCTTAGCACAATTTCAGCCAAATTCCTGTTATCTTGCAACAGTGGGCAGCTGAGGTGAGAGGGGAGCCTGTGTGAGGATGATGACTGTAGCTGCTACAGCTCAGCTAACATGCAGGAGCTTATTAACTTGCTATAACTCAACACCATAGGTCAGCTTCTGCTCTGAATTGAAAAAAAAAAGTCTGTTAACCCCATAGCCTTCAAGCATGTAGCTTTAAACAGAAGCAATGCTTTTGAAATTAAGATACCTATTTACAGAGATGCATGCTTGTAGAATCAGGGTCTTAATAGTAAATATTTTCTGTACTAAGTAAGCCTTCAAAATTCAAAAGTTTCTCAAAAATTCAGGCAAAACATTTAACCAGTACTCTAGTTTTAATCTCTGGCTATAATAATTTTAAATTTTCAAGCTAGTTTTGCAGATGTTCGATGTCCATTTTGAAGACAACTCCCTTGAAATTACATAATTGTGATCCACTGTTTCAATAGCAGAGCTGAAACCCAAGGGTTCTTAGATTCTCAGTCAGACCATGTGCTTTTGATAAGGTACCAGTGTATTTTATACTCACTGGCAAGATCATTTAAGCTTTACAGCTATCAGGAACATCCGTTCCAACATTTTCCAGTGTATGCTCTTGTCTTTCAAATTCCTTTGCTCATTTAAAAAGTTTTAAGTTGTTTATTTATATGTTTTTGGTCTTGAAAAGATATTTTCACGTGCGTTGGATCACAGAAGCTGAATGCTGGAATTACTATTTTTAGAAAGTGTCGCCATTTGTGTTAGTGGTAAAATGTATCATGTTGTTATGGCAACTGAAATCCAAATGTACTGATTTAATGACACTGACATTATGTGATGGAAAGACTCATTTGATGCTGTTCAATCCTCTGGAATATTTTAATGAACTTTATCTTTTAATTTAATATTATTTGGTGCAATACAGTTAGTTTTTTTACAAATTCTGTGTGCAATACTTTCTTAAAAGATTGTGTTGTTATAGTAGTTTAGTGATCTCCGGCTGTGTTCCGAGACAGTTGTTTTACCTGAACACCTTAAATATAATTCCCTTATAAGAGTTTCTAAATTTGCTATTACAAGGCCAGTCTGTTTTCCAGGTATGCTAATAATCTAGGGATACTGACAGTGGATCCTGTATATCAGAAAACTGGATACTTTGCATCAGAATAAAATGCAGGTTTTATCTCTTAATCTTCTTTCTCATCGCTTCCGTTTCTTAATATTTCCTGAAAAGATGAAGCTCTTACACGTTTGGTCTTTGAGATTCCTTTAACTTGTCAGTTCCCAACAGCTGGTGAATTCAGCCGTGATTTTAGTGGATGCAGTTTTGGTGTCTTTGTTCCTCTGCTGTATATTACAGCAGGGCTGAATCTGGATTCGTGGTTACCTTGGTTTCCTCAGCTTTTCCTAGTGTTCCACTTGCATGGGTTTGGCTATAAAATAGTGGTAACTACTATTTTTGATAGATAAAAATGCATGTGCAACTGTAAGCACATCACCATGCTGATTATAGTAAACTGATTCAATGGGCAATGTAAAATAAAAATATTAGTTTGTCTTAAAAAAAAAAAAACCTTTCCAGTTAAATTTAGCATAAAATCTCCATGCATTGTTACTCATTTAGATCCAGTAAAATAACAGGATACAGATGTCACAGCATTGTTTGTAAAAGGTTGTAGCAAGTTTTAAAGCTCTGACCACTGTCACTTTTAGCTCTTCCTTTTTGACCGAGTATGGAAGGTGCTGTAAAGATAAAGCAAATAGAATATATTTGCTGTTAGATGAAAGAAAAAATTGTGTATTTATAAAGGACAGTGAGAGGCAGCAGGAGGTAGAAGGTAGATCACTAAGATTATCAGTCTTTTAAAAGGTACAGGGGAGTGCAGGTGAAAAACTAATATATGCAAATGAAATCCTTCTACTAATTTTTTCATGATTGCTGAAATAAAGAAGCTAATTTCTTGATTATCAGGATCGTATATGTGAGTTTATCTATGTACAGTAAAAAGAGGTGAAGATGCCTTTCTTCATTTTAAAACTTTAAGCTGTTTTCACAGTTGAAGTAAAAGGGTTTTTTTAATGTAACTGACACTACTTTTTAATGTGCATTTTAGTGTGTATCTTTAATTCCTTGTATGTAGTACAGTTATATTCTCTATGATTTACAAATTGTGTTTTGTTTTGTTTTAGAGAGCAGATAATAAAGCAGTCAACAGAACTGGTTTGCAGAGCTTACAGTGAGTTATATGCAGCTGTGATGAATCCTTCAAATGAATATAAGGACCCAGAAAACGTACTACACAGAACTCCTCATCAGGTTCAGGCACTCCTTTCATAGTCTTGCTTCCCCCAGGTTTATCCGAATACATAATTCTGTATTTGTCAAGTGTTTGCATCAAGTCACTTTTCTGTTTTGAATTTTGATGTGTAACTGTATAATCAAAATATGTAGGAATGAAGTTTTGTTTAATCTTCTTGGCAGAAGTCTAGTCTTCCCTGTGTCTTTGAATACCTTCTCTAGGCCAGAAAATAGAATATAAATTAAAAAGTATTTTAATGTATTCCTCTAATGGAAATGGACCTTGACAATATGCAATCTCTTTGAGAAAGGGAGTGAAGGAGAAAGAAGCTTTTTCCTTGCTGTACATAATCCTTTCAACTAGAGGTTGAACTAGTGTCCCTTATGACCTCACCAATATTTTTACTTCCTCTTTTCCCTGTTCTTTCACTCTTTTTTCTCAGCCTAGCATTAGGAAACACTGATAACTGTTATTTTAGTACAACTGATATGCTTTGAATGTCTCAAGTCCATCACTTTTACAGCTCATAAATTATTTCAGAATATTTGATGCTGTTTTTCAAATCCTGATGATTAAATCTTTGAGGCAAAATTGCAGTGCTTTTTTGGAATCCATTGGTGTTATTGATAGTTCTGCCATTTTCTGTAAGAAAAAAAATATTTGAACTACATGTATGTACATAACTTGGAACTTAATGCTTTAAGTTATTTGTATAATTTTGTTTTACTGGAAGGATTTTGTTTACTGCAGTCATTCTCTAGGAATCCTTATATCCATTGAAACTTGCAGATCTCTTAAGGCTGGGACCAATAGCAGCATTTAGGAAAATTATTTCAACAGCAGTATGGCCGTGCCTCCTTCACATGTACATGGTTTTTGGTTTGCTTTTTTTTTTAAGTACAGAAAAAATCCATGTGCTCTATTATAAGCATTTATTCTGTTAATAATCAAGATTTTCATGGTTTATATGTCTACAGTGATGTTCCTAAAAATTAAAGTTTACCCATGACAGCCACAGGTTGTTCTGGGAATTATGTGGGAGAGCCGGGGTGTGTAGTTGTTGTAGGTTTCTGCATAGAAAGCCCTGAGTGAAGGTTTTGTTTCTTTCCTCCTTTGGTGCAAAGTAGAACCTGCTCTGTGTGGATACCCTAATTATATAGAGAGTTATGATTCAGGGGACCTTTGCTTCCAGTAGAAGAGGAAAATAGATAAGCGGGACACTTGTTCTCTGTTGGGCCTTATGATAATTTTCTGCAAATTCCTTAAATATATTCTTCTTTCAGGAAAGCCTTGTTATAGACAAACCTTCAGGAAAGAAAAGTTAGTAAAAGGAATTCGGGGTGTTTTGGGGTTAGGGTTTTTGGTTTGGGTTTTTTTCTCTTTTTTTTTTTTTTTAAGGATAATTTAAGCTAACTGTTTTGCTGGAAGCATTTACCTTTTTTTTCTTCTTTGTTGTTGCATGGTTGCCACAGAAAGTTACTACAGTTGCCTGAGTTTGTACTCATATTAGATGTTGCTTATTTATATGCCTCAATGGGGAGGTGAGCATTCATTCATATTGAATAACTTACATATTTTATTTTTATCAGTAATAATATTCCCCATATAAAATATATGCTTAGTGGCAGCCAAGTCTGCAGTTTAGTGTATGCTTGCAAAAGAGTAAGAAATAGAGAAGAGCAGCAGCAATACATTTTTAGTCTTTTGGAAAACTCATTGCACGAGATATATCCAGTGCGCTTAGAAATCGCTTCCTTGTTAATACCACAAAAAAGCAATAGCTCCTTTTCCAAATGGGCGTAATTTGTTGGTATAATAGAAACTAAGATTTAAAAGTGTTAAGTGTCCCAGGAGTTCTTGGATCAGCTATACATTTTTCTGAAAATGTGAATATAAGATTTATTCTGTTTAAAAACTCCAGACCTGTAAGACAAAAAAATCTAGAAGCTTAGAAAAGCTCTAATGGAAAGTTATGCTCTTTTACTAGGTAAGGCACTTTAAATTACTCAGATTTTGCATTACCATAGTATATATTCAGAAGGCTGTGCATTATTGTTTAGTAATGTTAATATTGCTCAATATGCCTCTAATTATTATCTAATATGTGAAAATTACATCAGTTGTGAAAGGATTATAAATTAGCTTGTTATTAGATTAACATACTCATAAGAGTGAACTTCTTCCTGAAATTACAGTCAACCTCAGTCTACAATAATCAGTCAGTAGTTTGCATGAGGATTAGTAAGAAGTTGCCTCTTACCTTTGAGTCCATGTAGAGACTTATCCATGATTTTACCTTCTCTTAATAAAAACGCAAAAGCTATGAAAGTTGTAACTTAAAATTTAATCACTAATTTTGATCTGTGCAATGAAAGTAAATGACAAAGGGCCACAGATGAGAAAGGATGTCAATAAAAGTGTTTGATTTACTGACTTCTGTCTTCCATGTTGTTACTTCCTTTTGCTTGCCTTCCTGAGAAGGAGGAAGGAAAAAGTGATTAGATTTTGACCTCCCTTTTCTAGGTTGACATTTCTGACCCTTTTATTTTACAAATTCCCAGAATTTCAACACCAGGAACTGTGAAGCTGCAGTCCTCAAATTGCTCGGTTTGAGGGATGACCCGTAAGCATTACAGTAAATGGAATCATTCTGGGTGTCAGTACCGGGTCCGTGTTCAGACCAGTTACTGCAGCACGGTGCATGAAGAGATGCTCACCTGGCTGGGCTGAGTTAGCCAGTGTTTCTGCTGTTGGTCATGAAACCCTTCATATGAAGGGGTGTGCCTTCAAAGAGTGACTTCGTTACTCTGTACTGGGCAGTAATATCCTTGGGAAAACTGGGTAAAGAGAGGTGTTCGAATACTGGCTACAGTAGGCAGCACTCTTGGCGTTTGACACTCTGACAAACTAATTCTGAGAAGAGATGCATGAAAGCCTCTTTTTGCATTGTCTGATGCAAAGAGCACTTCGTGGGAAGGGGGAGAGCTGGGTTCTGGGGCAGAGGAGTTTGGAATCGACATCTCCTACCCTCCTGGAGAGCACCCAAACGCTTGGCTGCTGTGCAGTATGAGATGGGGCAGCTCTGTTTCTTCTCTTTTGAATTTAGCAGCTATGCATAAATCAATGCAAAATATGGGACACATGAGACAGAATAAGCAAGGGGGAGTCTGACCCTATGGCATGTGCGTGAGGTTTCTCCTCCAAGGTCTAGGTCTTCCTCCAGCTGTTACATAGGGGCCTTATCTTTGACCTCCATCACGTGAGTCCCTGAAAGAGAATCAGGATCCCAAGACTTCATCACACACAGAATACCAGCAAACAGGAAACTACAAAGTTGAGTTTGAGTTGGACCTAAGGTGGCTCATCCTCACTGGTAACAGTGCCTCGGTATTCAATCCTACATGTACAATTTTCCCCTCACCTCTTTGTAAATATGCACAACCCTGTGGAAATAAAATATAAAAGTTTTAATTTTAGCAAGCACACAGCAGCCCAGCCTTGGTGATTTTTTTGTTTTCTGTTATAGGAAAAGAGGAGCTTAAGGAGGTTTGGAAGGTGATAATACATTTGTTTTGCAGCATTTCAGAGTGCTTTTCCCTGTTCTCTGAGATTTATGACTCTAGCCCTGCATTTTGTCTGTTAATAGACTCAGCTGTAATTATTTTTATTAAAGTTTTTGAAATATGTGCTGGAGGAAAATAGTGGCAGAACCGCTCAACTTTTCCACTAATTTAAAAAACTCTAGCTGTTCTTTGATCCCTTTGCTTGCCTTACTGAGTCACTTTGCAGGCAACCCAGGGGGTGGGAAGCTTATAAAATTTTGAAAACTAAACAAAGGGGTTAGACGTATTTCCATGAGTAAAACACGCCTTCCAGAAGCAACACAGACATGGGTGTGGGTTTGTCTCTGTCACCTGCTTCTGAGGGAAAATGCAGAAAAAGAGCCATTTGCTTATGATGAGGGCACCAGTCCAAAACAGTGGACAGTGGGGTTAGATGCTGTAAACTGGTGTTAAATTTATGTTAGGTTTGAATAGTTTAGAGAATTTTCAAAATGCAGATTAGAATAAATGGGCAGTGGAAATAAAAGGAATGTCATATAACTGAACTCCCTTGCATATTGGATTTACTTGTTAAAGGTTTCCAGAACATCTGCATCTTTTCCCCACCACTCTTAAGCTCTTTGCAAACTAAACTTCAAGACAATCCTGCAACAATTCTAACCCTTGGGTAATTGGGAGTAAAATGAGATGCTTGGAGTCACCCAGTGACATACAAAGTAGTAGTTGAACTCAAGAGCCAAGTTGTTTCTTGAAGAGTTTAAAAAAAAATGGGAAATGAATATTTTGAACCTGGATATTTGTCCTGAAGGATAAGAGGGGCAATGCCCTTCATATGGCAGGGTAGGTCTCTCCAGCCATCCGCTGCGTGGCAGGAAGCCAACTTCAGTTTTTCAGAATCAAACTATGTCAAAAGTTTTTAAAGGCATTTTAAAGGTGAACGTGTGCTCCTGTGCTGTACTAAGCTGGTTGCTGGGCTGGTGCTCCAGTGGGGATGTTCACACTAGCCCGGTAGATATGGTTACTTAATGTTCGAAAGGTGGGTGACCCTCTTGTCACACAAAGGTCTTCTTCTGATACCCAGCTATTTACACCCTTGAGTAAAGAGCCACTTCATGTAGAGCTGACATGGGGCTGAGGTAAACCCAAAACATTGCTTCTGTCTTGGTCCTTGACCAACTCAATGATGATGTGGGTAAATCTTCGGCAATCTGCAGAATCCTCTGGTGTAAAGCTATGGAAAGACAAAGTGCAAAGCAGCCTCTTACACCTGAAAATGTACACTAACGTGCATATCATGTACATTATCTTATGTACCTTAATGCCTGAATGAGGGTATGACCTCCTCATGCTACACTTGTTGCACAGACTTCGCATACAATGGGAACATGAACCACAAAGGCTTTTCTCTTAACAAAAAAAGTTTATTTCGACTACCTTGCTTTAGTAGTAAGGAAACCTTGATCGAGCAAGATATGGTTGGAAGGTGTTTGGTAGATTACTGCAGAGCAGCTGACAAAAAAGAAAAAGACTGTTGGATGTTTCATATTCAGACAATGAAGCTTTCATTTGCTGCCTGGTTCACAGATGTGGTGTTGTCAAATTGCAGGAAAATGCCTGGCAGACTGTATCATTGGCTATATTTAGGGAGAAAAAAAAATCAGAACACACTATTTATAGAAGCCACACAAATAAGCACAGAGTTCTTATCAGCCAAAGATAACATTAGTCCTGATTTATCAAAGTAATCTTTATTTTATGGAAAATGGATAATAGGGTGTAATTTAATCCTTTGTGAATGTAATGTATATTTCAAAGGGTTCTTTTTTGTCAATAAACCATTTGTTGTACTTGTTAAACTAATTAGTCTTGTTGCTGTTGGTTAGGACAGGATAAAAGATACCCATTAATGAAAAAGGGAAGGAGGAGACAGGTTTGAAAGTTTGTGAAATATTTTGTACTCCTTGCAAGCCAGTTTTCTGATCAAAACAGGTTTCGCCTCTTTCGCTGCGAGCCTATGTTAACGGAGTTT